TGCTGTAGTTCCTTTATAGCCCAACATTAGCCGCCTTTAGCTTAGCGGTGGTCACATGAAGTCATGTGACCGTGCTGTAGTTCCTTTATAGCCCAACATTAGCCGCCTTTAGCTTAGCGGTGGTGACGTGAAGTCATGTGACCGTGCTGTAGTTCCTTTATAGCCCAACATTAGCCACCTTTAGCTTAGCGGTGGTGATGTGAAGTCATGTGACCGTGCTGTAGTTCCTTTATAGCCCAACATTAGCCACCTTTAGCTTAGCGGTGGTGACGTGAAGTCATGTGACCGTGCTGTAGTTCCTTTATAGCCCAACATTAGCCCCCTTTAGCTTAGCGGTGGTGACGTGAAGTCATGTGACCGTGTTGTAGTTCCTTTATAGCCCAACATTAGCCCCCTTTAGCTTAGCGGTGGTGACGTGAAGTCATGTGACCGTGCTGTAGTTCCTTTATAGCCCAACATTAGCCGCCTTTAGCTTAGCGGTGGTGATGTGAAGTCATGTGAACGTGCTGTAGTTCCTTTATAGCCCAACATTAGCCACCTTTAGCTTAGCGGTGGTGACGTGAAGTCATGTGACCGTGCTGTGGTTCCTTTATAGCCCAACATTAGCCGCCTTTAGCTTAGCGGTGGTGACGTGAAGTCATGTGACCGTGTTGTAGTTCCTTTATAGCCCAACATTAGCCCCCTTTAGCTTAGCGGTGGTGACGTGAAGTCATGTGACCGTGCTGTAGTTCCTTTATAGCCCAACATTAGCCGCCTTTAGCTTAGCGGTGGTGACGTGAAGTCATGTGACCGTGCTGTAGTTCCTTTATAGCCCAACATTAGCCACCTTTAGCTTAGCGGTGGTGACGTGAAGTCATGTGACCGTGCTGTAGTTCCTTTATAGCCCAACATTAGCCGCCTTTAGCTTAGCGGTGGTGACGTGAAGTCATGTGACCGTGCTGTAGTTCCTTTATAGCCCAACATTAGCTGCCTTTAGCTTAGCGGTGGTGACGTGGAACATGTGTTTTTGGTCAAGGACACCCTTACGATGCTTATTTCAAGGTTAGCAAACAAAAATATAACATCTCTTTTGTGTTGCAATTTGTTTTTGTTCACATACACATCTGTACCTACCCTTTCAAAGCTCTTATTCATCAGAAACTAGCAGAGCGCTGTACCTCTTCAGGTCTCCTCATGCTAATCTGGCCTTGTTTGCTGCTCAGGATTTGGAAAACATGACGACGTGTGCTTTAGGAACCGGGGCGGGGGTCCAGTAGGTAGACGGAGGAAAGCCAAACAGAGAGAGTGGCATTATGAAACAATGAAGTAATGGAGAGAGAAGGGGAGAGGCTGAAACAAGTGCATGAGAGAGGGAATGTATAGGAAGAGGAGGGGAAGTTAGGCTCTGGTTTCTTTCCTCCCTGGCGCCATAACATTCGGAGGGTTTTGTAATGAACCCTGACGTCTTGATGTAAATGAGTGCGACCGCTAACAGTGATTTAACCTTTATGTTGCGTCTAAACATCAGATTCAGGAACAGGTTTGGTAGGTTGACACGTACGAGGAATTTGACTTGATGTCGTGGTGCATACATAAAAGAGAACTAGAAAAATATTAAAAATAATATAAAATATTGTAAAATGTCACAGAAATGGAATAAAATATGGAATAAAAATCTGAAAACAGATATTGTTGTACAACGTGTGCATTAATGTAAGGCATTATGCCACGCTCTTGTAATTCTTTCCTAGAAAATGTCCTCTGCTACACAGGAAGTCATATGTTTCCAGCTGTAGCAACAAAAGTGTGTGTTGAATTAGAAGAAAACGTATTTAAAATAGTTGAAATATGTTAGAAAAACCAAGGTAGAGAGGTCAAACGGCCATTATACTGTTTGATTGACAGGTGAGAAGTGTAGCGACTGTTGACAAGGAATGTTAGACACACACACACACACACTCGCACTCGCACTCGCACACACTCACACTCGCACACACTCACACTCACACTCTCACACACACACTCGCACTCACTCACACTCACACACACACACACACACACACACACACACACACTCACACTCACACACTCACACTCACACTCACACTCTCACACACACACACTCACACTCACACTCACACACACATACACACACACACACACTCACTCACACACACACACACACACACACACACACCACATACACTCTCACACACACTCACACACACATACACACACACACACACACACACACACACACACACACACACACACACATACCACACACACACACACACACACACACACACACACACACACACAGCTGCAGTTTCTTTGCTTTCTGTAGAAACGTGTGAGACAAAAGGTCACAGAGCTAATGGCGTCCAGCGGTGAGAGAAACGAGGACATATTGGATTCGGGACATTTGAGCTGACACGCTTGTAATAATAATACTTTAAAATATATTAATACTTGGGTCAATAATACACTAATTTAATACATTCATAGGCTGTCAGCCCCTATTCAACCTCCCTTAAAAGTCTGGTTCATTCGGCAACAACGGCAGCCACTTTAAGGCATATTTTTACTATATTTTCTTTGTTAACACGACATACTGATATACACCTGAACATCAGCAGGAGAGGACTCTTTAAAGTAGAGACACTGCATACTGATATACACCTGAACATCAGCAGGAGAGGACTCTTTAAAGTAGAGACACTACATACTGATATACACCTGAACATCAGCAGGAGAGGACTCTTTAAAGTAGAGACACTACATACTGATATACACCTGAACATCAGCAGGAGAGGACTCTTTAAAGTAGAGACACTACATACTGATATACACCTGAACATCAGCAGGAGAGGACTCTTTAAAGTAGAGACACTACATACTGATATACACCTGAACATCAGCAGGAGAGGACTCTTTAAAGTAGAGACACTACATACTGATATACACCTGAACATCAGCAGGAGAGGACTCTTTAAAGTAGAGACACTACATACTGATATACACCTGAACATCAGCAGGAGAGGACTCTTTAAAGTAGAGACACTACATACTGATATACACCTGAACATCAGCAGGAGAGGACTCTTTAAAGTAGAGACACTACATACTGATATACACCTGAACATCAGCAGGAGAGGACTCTTTAAAGTAGAGACACTACATACTGATATACACCTGAACATCAGCAGGAGAGGACTCTTTAAAGTAGAGACACTACATACTGATATACACCTGAACATCAGCAGGAGAGGACTCTTTAAAGTAGAGACACTACATACTGATATACACCTGAACATCAGCAGGAGAGGACTCTTTAAAGTAGAGACACTACATACTGATATACACCTGATCATCAGCAGGAGAGAACTCTTTAAAGTAAATCAAGATATTGTGCAGATTTATTCGGCTAGTTTTTGTGTTGTTTGGATAATCTCTTCCTCACTTTATTTTTCCCTCAGTGCTAATTAATAAGTCCTCTCGTCCCTCAAGCGTTCCCTTTTTAATTCTGCGTCTCTCGTCCGCTCTGTCCTGAGGGAGAGTACAGTACTGCACAGCAACAACAACCACACCTGCTGTACACTGACTCTCACTCTCCACCTGTAGCACAGATCAGCGTGAAAGATAAGATAAGAAGTTCTCTATTGATCCCGAGTTGTGATTTTAAACATTTTAAACATGGACGTGGCTGATATCCGTAACCTCATGCGTAAAACTCAAGCCTCTATTCTACAAAACGGCTTTCTGGGAAATCGTAATGATGACGGAAATGTGAGTTTTGCTGATTGACTGTCATTTAAATCTGAGTTGTCGGGTAGTTTTTGGGGGACGTTTACTCCTATGTCTAAGTGTTGCTCCTTTTTGATTTTCTACTAGTCGTTAGATCACTAAGAGGTTGTTTTAAAGACAACTTTGGATGATACACACATAGGATCTACTGTGTTTGAATGGATTTGAGGACTGCTTTTAGACGTGACTCTGCTTCTTGAAATGAATCTCAGGTGTTTTGTTGTGTTGACAAATCTGTGGGGACTTTCCTAAGTCGAAAGTGTTTTTTTTTGTTGATATATATATATTTTAAATGTTGAATTAAGTAGACATTTCATTTCAGGATTCAACTTATCTGAGATAAAAGATGATGCAAATTGAACCCTGCTCATTTTAAAAGTGTTATATTTAAAGTATTTATTGGGAATGTTGAAAATGAAATCAATATACGTTGATTATTGTAAATATACATTATGAAGATAACCATAAATAACCCTTATGAGATTAACTTATATATAAAGCTGTGAAAAATATTTGACAAAATCTCACACACAGAATACTTTATTCTCATTTGAATTGTATTTATTTGAGGAGGTTTTGATTCATGATCATTCAGTATAGTTTGATCTGGAAAAAGGAAATGCACAGTAAGAAAGAACAGACTCACATTGTATTTATTTATTTTTGCGTGGGTTATTTTGATTCATGATTACCTTATTTAAGATTATTTAATAGTTTGATCTGGTTGGTTTGTGCTGTCTGTGGCTCAGGGGGTTGATGTCGCCCTCGAATCACAAAGATTTTGGTTTGATTCCCTCGCAGACAACATGTTGATTTCATTCTTATTGTGTGTGTGTGTGTGTGTGTGTGTGTGTGTGTGTGTGTGTGTGTGTGTGTGTGTGTGTGTGTGTGTGTGTGTGTGTTGTGTGTGTGTGTGTGTGTGTGTGTGTGTGTGTGTGTGTGTGTGTGTGTGTGTGTGTGTGTGTGTGTGTGTGTGTGTGTGTGTGTGTGTGTGTGTGTGTGTGTGTGTGTGTGTGTGTGTGTGTGTGTGTGTGTGTGTGTGTGTGTGTGTGTGTGTGTGTGTGTGTGTGTGTGTGTGTGTGTGTGTGTGTGTGTGTGTGTCACCACTTCAAACGAGTCAGCCTCTTTGCTTGTTGTTTGATTGAACTCTTTAAATGAAGGATGTTTTCTCTCTTCTGAAACAACACGCCTCACCTCCTGTGTTTCCTCCTCAGGTGGTGGCCAGTGACGGGGTTCGGGCGATGATGGAGTCCGCCCTGACAGCCAGAGACCGGGTGGGGGTGTCCGACTTTGTTCTCCTGGAGAACTTCACGAGCGAAGCCTCGTTCATCGAGAACCTCCGAAAACGCTTCAAAGAAAACCTCATCTACGTGAGTCAAAGTCAAAGTCAACTTTATTGTCAATCTTTGAGTTTGTGTGTACAGACAGAGATATCGAAATACTGTTTCCCACAATCCAGAATACAAAATATGTATACAAATATGTATATCCTATATATATATATACAATCAACAGACACATTTATACATATGCACACATTAAGACATACATAAAAGCACAACAATCAATATATACAAAATAACAGTCACTTCAATATCTTTGAGAAATGTACATTAGTGCAAGATGTCCATAGATGGCAAAAGTACACGCATCCTTTCCTCAAGTAGAAGTACAGATACTCGTGTTTAAAAAATACTCTGGTGAAAGTAGAAGTACTGACTAAACTTCTTTACTCAAGTAAAAGTAAAGAGGGCTTTGAAATGTCCTTCAGTAAAAAGTACCCATAACTAGCAGCTGTTTTAAAGAGTACCTGACCTCCCTTTATATTAATAGAACAATAATGTCATTGTTAGCTAATGAATGTTTCCATGCTGAACAACGGCAACATGACAACGTTTTCATTGGTCCCTCTTCTTTAGAGAAGACCAGGAAATGATGGATACACGGATCGTGTTCAAATCAATAGGCACGCAATGACTCTAAATAATAATGATCACGCCACCAAACACACATTCAAACTAAAGGAACCAGCCTGTTTGGGAAATGAGAGAAGTAGAAAGTACAGGTATTTGTGTTCAACATGTAAGAAGTAGAAAGTACAGGTATTTGTGTTCAACATGTAAGAAGTAGAAAGTACAGGTATTTGGGTTCAACATGTAAGAAGTAGAAAGTACAGGTATTTGTGTTCAACATGTAAGAAGTAGAAAGTACAGGTATTTGTGTTCAACATGTAAGAAGTAGAAAGTACAGGTATTTGTGTTCAACATGTAAGAAGTAGAAAGTACAGGTATTTGTGTTCAACATGTAAGAAGTAGAAAGTACAGGTATTTGTGTTCAACATGTAAGAAGTAGAAAGTACAGGTATTTGTGTTCAACATGTAAGAAGTAGAAAGTACAGGTATTTGTGTTCAACATGTAAGAAGTAGAAAGTACAGGTATTTGTGTTCAACATGTAAGAAGTAGAAAGTACAGGTATTTGAGTTCAACATGTAAGAAGTAGAAAGTACAGGTATTTGGGTTCAACATGTAAGAAGTAGAAAGTACAGGTATTTGTGTTCAAAATGTAAGAAGTAGAAAGTACAGGTATTAGTGTTCAACATGTAAGAAGTAGAAAGTACAGGTATTTGGGTTCAACATGTAAGAAGTAGAAAGTACAGGTATTTGGGTTCAACATGTAAGAAGTAGAAAGTACAGGTATTTGTGTTCAACATGTAAGAAGTAGAAAGTACAGGTATTTGGGTTCAACATGTAAGAAGTAGAAAGTACAGGTATTTGTGTTCAAAATGTAAGAAGTAGAAAGTACAGGTATTTGTGTTCAAAGTAAAAAGTCGTCAGAAAAATAAGTAGTGGAGTTAACTAACTACCAGAAAAATGTACGTAACTAAGTATTTGTACTCCACTACTTCCCATCTCTGATTATTTAATTCTAAAATGGAGCAACTGTCACAAAGCCCTATTATCCCCGTGTGATATATGAAGTATTCAGATTTTAATGTATCATGTGATGCATGCTCTCTCTCCTCCAGACGTACATCGGGTCGGTGCTGGTGTCCGTTAATCCTTACAAAGACCTGGAGATCTACACCAAGAACCACATGGAGCGATACCGCGGAGTCAACTTCTACGAGGTGTCTCCACACATGTGAGTACACACCTCTGCACACACTCTTTAGAGTAGGGATGACGTATTTCTGGAGTGGACCCTGAGGGCAGCATCTCCCTTGTACCCTCCATTAAAAAACTATGGGATTTCTCCATTGGAATTTGCAGAAAAATAATCTCTGCAGCAAACAATCATTTATGATATTTACACGTTTTGTTCAGCAGGATAATCTCCACATATTAACACCACTTTATGATTTCTGAAGTAAACAGCTTCCTATAAAGGAACTACAGCACGGTCACATGACTTCACGTCAGCACCGCTAAGCTAAAGATGGCTAATGTTGGGCTATAAAGGAACTACAGCTCAGTCACATGACTTCACGTCACCACCGCTAAGCTAAAGGCGGCTAATGTTGGGCTATAAAGGAACTACAGCACGGTCACATGACTTCACGTCACCACCGCTAAGCTAAAGGAGGCTAATGTTGGGCTATAAAGGAACTACAGCACGGTCACATGACTTCACGTCACCACCGCTAAGCTAAAGGTGGCTAATGTTGGACTATAAAGGAACTACAGCACGGTCACATGACTTCACGTCACCACCGCTAAGTTAAAGGTGGCTAATGTTGGACTATAAAGGAACTACAGCACGGTCACATGACTTCACGTCACCACCGCTAAGCTAAAGGTGGCTAATGTTGGGCTTTAAAGGAACTACAGCACGGTCACATGACTTCACGTCACCACCGCTAAGCTAAAGATGGCTAATGTTGGGCTATAAAGGAACTACAGCACGGTCACATGACTTCACGTCACCACCGCTAAGCTACGTTTTTTAATTCACAGTCTCTTTATAAAGTTGATTTTCTCATCAGCCCATCTCTATCCATAGTAAACAGCATGTTGTTTTCACCTCTTGATGCTTTGTGAGGCGTTTTTCCCTCGAGGATGACCTCACACTTGCTGCACCTGCTTCATGCATGTTGTCACAGTGTTTACCTGCAGTAATATTTGCTCAGAGTCAACACGCTACGTAATGCTCTCCCTGTCAGTCAGTCAGGTCACGAGAGTTTGTAAGGAACATTTTCCACAGGAATGATGAGGGAATTCCCTTAAACCCTGCAAAACAATCAGGAGCATTATGTGGACTCAAGAAGTGGCGTCACCCTTTCTCAATGGCTCTCTCTCCCCTATGCCAACCATGGGAGTTTTATATTCTGGTCAGGATCCTCTCTATAGTGCACCTGTAGAAGGTCAGGATCCTCTCTATGGTGCACCTGTAGAAGGTCAGGATCCTCACTATGGAGCACCTGTAGAAGGTCAGGATCCTCTCTATGGTGCACCTGTAGAAGGTCAGGATGCTCTCTATGGCGCACCTGTAGAAGGTCAGGATGCTCTCTATGGTGCACCTGTAGAAGGTCAGGATGCTCTCTATGGTGCACCTGTAGAAGGTCAGGATACTCTCTATGGTGCACCTGTAGAAGGTCAGGATACTCTCTATGGTGCACCTGTAGAAGGTCAGGATCCTCTCTATGGTGCACCTGTAGAAGGTCAGGATCCTCTCTATGGTGCACCTGTAGGAGGTCAGGATGCTCTCTATGGTGCACCTGTAGGAGGTCAGGATGCTCTCTATGGTGCACCTGTAGGAGGTCAGGATCCTCTCTATGGTGCACCTGTAGAAGGTCAGGATCCTCTCTATGGTGCACCTGTAGAAGGTCAGGATGCTCTCTATGGTGCACCTGTAGGAGGTCAGGATGCTCTCTATGGTGCACCTGTAGAAGGTCAGGATACTCTCTATGGAGCACCTGTAGAAGGTCAGGATGCTCTCTATGGTGCACCTGTAGAAGGTCAGGATCCTCTCTATGGTGCACCTGTAGTCAGGATCCTCTCTATGGTGCACCTGTAGAAGGTCAGGATCCTCTCTATGGTGCACCTGTAGTTAGGATCCTCTCTATGGTGCACCTGTAGAAGGTCAGGATCCTCTCTATGGTGCACCTGTAGTCAGGATGCTCTCTATGGTGCACCTGTAGAAGGTCAGGATCCTCTCTATGGTGCACCTGTAGTCAGGATGCTCTCTATGGTGCACCTGTAGAAGGTCAGGATCCTCTCTATGGTGCACCTGTAGTCAGGATCCTCTCTATGGTGCACCTGTAGAAGGTCAGGATCCTCTCTATGGTGCACCTGTAGGGTCATCGGACATCGCACGCTCACTGCTTGATAGCGCGCGAAGGTCCGTTTACGCCGGTTGTTAAACAACATCGTTATGGGGAAATGCAAGTCTGCGTCCAAATGGTTGGAAGATAAGGAGGAAGGACAATCAATACTGTATATAGTCAATGTGAGGTAAAGTGTGTCACCAATGTAACCGGTTAGAACTCCAAGTGGCGATGAGGTCTTAACATATATGGAAAGGGTCTTAAAAAAGGTCTTAAAAGGTCAATTACATCTGACTTCAGGATTCCTGCATATACCCTGTATAATGCAACATCATCTTTTAACGTAAACATTAGGGGTGGGGGAAATAATCGATACAGAAGAGTATCGCAATACTTTCCGTGGCGATATTGTATCGATACATTTAAGCTACATCCATATTAGCATTACTTTAGCATACCATTAAACAAGTGAACTTCAAATAGTTAGCAAAGTCATAATACAGTATATAAACGAATTGAGACACAAACCACACGTTTATATTACAGTTAACACGTTAATATCTGTACTTTATCTCCGTTCTTTTTCTCCGTCAAGTTTTTGCTTTGGGAACAGTAACTTCCTGCTAATAGCGCAAAGTCGCCTTCTAAATAAAAGCATGTCTATATAAAACAGGAAGTTAAGACATGTATACAATTGCAATGAAAGTAGCAAAAACAATGCCATCTCCTTTTCAGGTTCAAAGAACACACATTGGGTTATTCACATAAACTATTCATATTGCAAAGACATTTTTTAACCAGGAAGGGAAGACGGACATGGATATGAGCCATGTGATTTGCAATATACCGTATCGCAACACTATCGTATCGTGGCTTAAGTATCGCGATAGTATTGTATCGTGGGGAGCCTGGTGATTCCCAACACTAGTAAACATAGAGCCACATGTTTT